GGTATTTGAAATTCTTATACGGTAAGTTATATGTGTATATTATCTTTTCTACATAATAACAATAAATTATTGAAATGAAACTAAAATAGTGATTTATTTTCCATAAAATGAATAGTTATATTTATACAGGAATATTTTCTGTAGAAAATAATGTTAGCCTTGTTGACATTTTTATTTCTGCTGACGAGATTGAATTACTTGAACTTTGTAAACAACTTAAGAAATATTTACTTAATACTGAATCGGCGTGGAAATTTCCAAAAGATTTTATTACAATATGTCAACATCATGATTCTGATTTATATCATGTTGCATTTGATCTTGTATGTAATAATCCAAAGACTGTTTTTGAATCAGAAGAGTTCTTAAAAATGGAAGAAGACCATCTAATCCATTTTTTGAAAAGTGATAACCTTCGGCTGGATGAGTTTGAAATTTGGGAACATTTAGTTAAATGGGGAATTAAAAATACTAGACCTATTTTGACAAATGATTTGGCTGAATGGAAGTCAACAGATTTTAAGAAACTTGAAAAAACTTTACATAATTGTATTCCTCATATTAGATTTTTCCAAATGTCACTTCATGAGCTTCGTTTAGTTAATACTCAATATAAAAATATTCTGCCAGATCTTTCTGATGAGATTTTGCGTATCCTGGATTCTGGGCGTGATCCTAGGCACGATCTTTTACAAAAAAGAGTATCTGCATATCCTTTTGATTCTAACATTATTGATGCCAAAGGCGCTGCATTAATAGCAAGCTGGATTGATAAAAAACGAGGATTACCTTATCATTTTAAAGATATGCCTTTCGAATTTGAGCTTATTTATCGTGCAAGTCAAGAAAATTTCAGTATTAAAAAGTTTCATGTCAATTGTGATAATAAGGGACCAACTGTTGTTGTAATTAAGGTTCTAAATTCAAAGGAAATAATTGGTGGATATAACCCGTTAGATTGGCGTAGCAAAAATTATCATGATTATAAATATAAAACGTCGGAAAGTTTTATATTTTCATTACTTTCATTTTCAAATGGAGCAATTCCTCAATTAAGTCGTATCTCTACCAAAGATGAAGCAATCGTTTGGTGTAATAATAAAGGACCGTGCTTTGGTTTACAAGATTTGTGGATAAATTTTTACTCAGGATCTGTTGTTGGTACAAGCAAACAGCATTCTTACGAAAGTAGAATTATTGATAAAGGTATTTTTAAAATAGAAGAATACGAAGTGTTTCAAATTACTGATAAGAGATCCACATTTATTCATGATAGTTTTATAATGAAAATTTTTATATCATCACTTTCTTCTATTATTTCTATTATAATTTTTCAATATCTTTATAAAAAAAAGTAAGGGTTGGACCCGGTAAATGTTACCCACAGATAATTTGCTAACTGGGTAGTTTAACCGGGTAATCACTCATAGTCGAATTTGTCAAATTGGTTAAATTTTGTAGATTCACACGTTAAAATGAATTAATCAAATTAGATAATTACTTTCATTTTCACTTTATAATTACTAGACAACAGGAAAAAAGATGTCTATGAATCAATAAAATATAAATTGTTTGATACTGACTTACAAATTCAAAAAGATAGACTTGAGTAGTAAAAATTTTTATTGCAATTTTTCGAGACATATCAAGTATTTGGAGCTATCCCTAAACTAGAGTTGATACAATTCGTTTACAAAAATTAGTTAAATTTGATAGCCACATTTCTGAAGGTAAATCACTCTAAAATTTTTCACCATAAATCTTATTAAGAAAATATTCTTATTATAGTATTAGTATGATTGGACCTTTTGTAGTATAGGTGATACC